ATTTAAAAGAATGTGATTTTAAAGAAGAAGAAAAATGATATGATATTGACGAACCCTTGCGCGTAAAACAAGAGTTATCACCACATGAAATATACATAATGTTTACGAATAACTTTAAACAGAAACAAACATTTTCAATTTCCTAAAACATTAAAACATGGTTGCAAACACGCTTGTAAAGAAGAATATTTACAAAATGGATTTGTCTACAGCAAAAGTGAAGATGCAGTCTACTGCATATACTGCACTTTATTTCTAAAGCAGGATAAAAAAAATCTTTGGGAGCTTTTGTTAACCGTGGATATAAGGAATGGCATAATGTTATAGAGAAACAAAAACTGCATATAAGCAATAGATACCATAAAGAAGCTATAGAACAAGCTAATGGCATTTGCTGTTGTTTTGAAGATCCAAGACAAACCATTTCATTACAAAGCAATAGCACTTTAAAAAACTGATAACAAATGTACCCATACATTGTTGAAACATTAGGTAGAATAGTACATTTGATGGGGGAAACAAGGAGTTGCATTTCGTGGAACTTATGAAAAGTGTATGGAAAACTCGGATCAAAAAGGTAATCCTGGAAACTTTCTTGCAATTGTGCAAGAAATAACTCACCATAATGCTGAACTTAATGCACATATATAAACGCCATTATGCAAAGATGTCAGCAACCTTATATAATTGGAAAGAAATGTATACAAGAGCGGCTATTTAATAAAAATCAAAGCTGCAAATTACCATTCAATTTCAGCAGGCGAGGTAATAACTCCAAACCAACAAATTCTATCAATATGTATGAGATAGGTATACAGAGAAAAAGAAATTAGAGAAGTATTTCTTGACTTTTTGAATATTGACAGGATAACAGGCAAACATATTGGCGAAAGCTTGATGAAATTTTACAGCAAAAGTGGAGTTGATCATAGTTCTTGTAGAGGCCAGTGTTACAATGGCGCACCAAACATGCAATCTGTAAAAAAAGGTGTTGCCAGCTATAATTTAGAAAAAGATCACCAAAAGGAATTGTAACAAGTTGTAGCTCACATAATTTGAGTTTATCAATTGCTGCAAAAAAGATTTTGATAAGGATGTGCAAAACAAGATGATCAGAAAGAGATACCGCATATGAACAATTTTATTTAGCTATACCATTTATGACAGAAGCATTAGCAGAAGCATTAGAGATTATTTTAGGAATACCCTCTAATATAAAACAGTTCAATAGAGTCTAGTATGGATTGGGAAGCACAAAGAAAAAGAGAGGCCAACTCACTCCTTAATGCACTCACTAAGTTTGAATTCAAATTTGGTATTATAACTTTGTACCGCTCACTTCACTCGTTGTCATATATAACAGAAAGGTTACAAGGGCGCACAACTGTTATGTGTTTGCATACAGTAACATTCAAGAAACAATCGATAATTTGAAGCATCTACGGAAAAATGTTGAAAAAGAAACTTATGCAATTTACCAACAAGCTACTCATATGGCAAGTAAATTATTTGAGAACCAATGATTCCCAGAATTACTGTGAAACAGGCCTACAGAAATAACGTACTTGCAGAGAATCCCCATGAATATTATAAACACGCCTGGATTATACCTTTTCTCGACACCTTCATTTCAGAAATCAAAATAAAAATAGAAAATATATTCGGAGAACAATAAATTTGTTTATGTAAACATTGCTCACACAAATATAGCTATGTTTCATGATATTTTTTTGGTGTTTTAAAACTGCCTTTTTTTTTTCAAAAATGATTCTCCTCCCTCCTTAAAATTTCACAGTATGGCCCTGTCAGATAAATCATTAGTTTTTTCCGTAAAAATGTAAATAAACAAGTGATATTGTTTTACTTAGCAAATAAAGTGGTAAAACACTGGAAGAAACTATCAGTCTTTTCCAAAGCCAGCGCTTTCGCTGTCTTTTTGCACTTGCCCACATGTCCACAAAAACTTTAACGAGCCCATGAAAAAAGTACTTGCCAAAAAACTAAAAGCATTTTGTTTTAAATTCCAATAAAAATTATTTTTGTTCATTTGTTCAACTTTTATGAAAAATGTTTTTTTTAGTAGTTTTTTTTTTTTTTTTAATAATTTTATCTAGTATTAATTCAAAGCATTCTTTTTGGTATTTTTTTTTTTTAAATTTAAATACCAGAAAAAAATAAATTTTTTAAATCACGCAAGCTAACTTAAAAAAAACCATCCTTTTTCGTGCACTGGCATCAAATTTCAAACGGAGAAGACTGAACTATCTGATTATTCATTATTGATTAATCATAAGACTGAACTATCTGATTATTCAGATTTGGTGTAAAACTAAACATTAATAATTTTTAAAGGTAAAAAAACATGAATCTTGTATTTAAAGTATAAACGAAACAATTAAAATAAAAAAGGAATAATTGATGTTTTACTTAATTTCTTAATAAGAATAATTTAAGTAAAAATGGAAAAACATATTTTATTAAAATTCCTTATTAAATGGTTAAAATATAATGGCAAAATAAACCTTTTATTCAAGTTCTAAATATGAACCTTGTATTTAAATTATAAACAAAACAATTAAATTAACTGCATTCGTTTTACAAATTTTTAAACAAATGTCAAATTTTTTTTCATTTGTTGAACCATATTTCTAAATTTTGTGGCAACCAAATGCTGACCTAAAATGGTTTTAGGTTGACAATAATCTTTATCGAGCGCGACACTTTCTTACTCCGGATTCTATTCTCTATCTCTATAAATCTCAAATCCAACCTTGTATGGAATACTGTTGCCATATCTGGGGTGGATCTTCTAATGATGCCCTTTCTCTTTTAGACAAGATGCAAAAACGGATTGTAAACATAGTTGGACCTGCTCTTGCAGCCAACCTTCAACCTCTGTCACATTGTCGTAATGTTGCTTCTCTTTCTCTTTTCTACAAATACTATAATGGGCACTGCTCTTAAGAGCTAGCGTCTCTTGTGCCATCTACTAAAATTCATTCTCGTGTTACTCGTCATTCAATTAAGTCTCATCCTTTTTCTGTTACTGTTCCTAAGTGCTCTAAAAACTCTTATTCGTCTAGTTTTTTTCCTCGAACATCAGTTCTTTGGAATTCGCTTCCTTCATCTTGCTTTCCTGATTTATATAATTTGCAATCTTTTAAGTCATCTGTCAATCGTTATCTTGCTCTACAACCTTCATCTTTTCTCTTCCAGTAACTTCCAACACTAATTAGTGTTTGCTTGCAGCCTTGTTGGAAGCAAAGGTGTTAAAAAAAATATATATATATATTTTTTTCTTATTCCTCCATAAATTCAATAAATGTCATAACTCCAACTTTGAGCAGCAATAAAGCTCGCTATTCATACATTTCAAAACCTTTGTATGAGCAAACTTTAGTTTAGCAATAAATTATTCTTCAAATTATATATATAACCTATAATTTTAACATAAAAAATTAACAATTTATGTTTAAAAAAAGGACTCAAAATGGCATTTCCTGTTTACAATAGTACAAGACTTTTTTTGTCAATGATGCCATACTATTAAATCTAAATGTAATAAGCCAAACATGTATGACTTTTTTTCATTTCTCAGAAAATTTTTAACTAGTTCAACCTTACTACAGGTTTTTGCACTTGTTATAGCACTGAGAATATAGTAGACTATTAATATTAATCAACTTTAACAATTTTAACACATTTCATATGAAATCATCAAAGAAAAAATCACTTTATAATTCCAAGTTAATTAAATTTTTTAAATTCTGTTAATGTTTCTGGTAGAATTAAAACCTAAAGTTCATTAAATTTTGATATGAACTGTGGCAATTTTTTTTTTTTTTACTTGTTTCTTTGTATATAATATGAGGATTGAATTTTCAAAAAGTTTTGAGTCACAAAAATAAAGTTTTGGAGTTTATTCCATTCCACGAAAAAACATATTTGTTACAACAAATATGTTTTTTTCGAAAAAAAAACATATTTGTTGTAAGCGTCAATTTTCTGCTAAATTTCTCTGGGTCGGAAGGATACCACCTCCCAAATTTTTTTCCTATAATAGGCCCTGGGTTTACGTAAGCGTAATCTTGTGATTAACTGTCTCACCTTTTTGTATTTAATTTTAGTTTTAATATAAGTGATTATTTAGCAATAAATTACAAAAATATATAATTTATATATAATACCACAGTTAAAAAATGAATTAGCTAGCCGGAACAGTATTTTTTGAAGTTGATAGAGTTATTTTTAATTTTAAAATTCTCTTGATGATTCTGGCATTAACAACGTTAGGAGGCAAATTAGGGATCGTCTATTAAGTATGTACGCTCGGATGGGGAAGAAAGGATCTGCAAATGGTGTATATGAGATAGGGCAAAAGGTCAATTATAAAGGAAATGTTAAATTTAAAAAATATCATAAAATGGTTACGTTAAAAACCTAGGTACTTTTAGGGAGGCGGAGGGTACTTGGAAAATTGTATATCAAAATGCAGAGAAGGGGGAAGGTTGAAATAAAAGCATATGTACTTTATGGATGATTTCTTATTACAAATATTAACAACCTATTAATTATTATTTAATATCAAAAAAATTCAGCGTTATTTTGTGAAAAAACAATTCAACGCAAGTGATTTCTGAAGCTTTTATTCCATCTTTTTAATTTGGTATTGGTGCTGGTACCTAAACTTGGAACTGGTTTTTTCTTCTGGGTACTCAAAATCTGGTATTCTGCATAAACTGGTTCCTGCACATTCCTAATAATAGATAGCAAAAGTAGCAATTCCTATTGTTGTGTGCTTACAAGTAGTCTAGTTTTTTTTTGTTGATTTCTCAAAATCAACAAAAAAAAAAACCTGGAAAAAACCTTACTTCTCATTCTTATTAGATATACTTTAATTTTCGTATGTTTGAGTTTAGGTTATTTGTTTGTATATAATATTTTTGTATGTTATTTAATTTGTATGTGCTTTGAGATAATTTTTTTGTATATAATATTAGATGTACTTTTGTCACCTCCAAATGCTCTGGGGAAAAATGTTGCAGAACTTGCTGGACGATTAGGTTTTACTATTTCTGAGATTGACTATATTTCAGAAAAATCGTACCCTTTTATATATATGCTAGAGTCATGGGTACGAAAAAATCAAAATGCTACATTGCAGGTTTTAAGGAATGAGATTTATGATATGGGAAGATTAGATGCAGTGGAAGTTTTAGATGATGCTGTTAAAGGTCAGCTTTTTTTCTTTCTTTTTTTTTAATAGTTATTTTATTTGGTATTGTTGGTATTTTTAATAATGTTAGCATTTAAAATGTTAGGAGAATATTTCCTTTTATTGTTGATAATAATTTTTAAAATCTTTTTTAGCAATACAAGAGAATAACATAGAAAGTGATGTTGGGATCGCATCAAATCAAGAATCATTAAAACGGTTTGCATCTAACACTACATTGTTGAGTTTAGAAAGTTCACAGTCTGCTTTTTCTGAAAATTTAATTTTAAATAGTACACATGATGGTAAGTTTTTTGTGTCAAAATGATCTTGGATTTTTAAATCAAAGATTTCTAATCCTCTTTTTTTTTTTTTTTTAGGATCTTATTTTTTTCTTAGGAAGAAAAAAATAAGATCCTAAAAAAAAAATAAGAGGATTATTTTTGAAATATTTTTTCTTGTGGTGCAAGAAAAAATAATTCAGAACAAAAATCAAAAAAATAAGATCCTAAGAAAAAAATAAGATCTTAAAAAAAAATAAGATCTTAAAAAAAAATAAGATTAGAAATCTTTGATTTAAAAATCCAAGTTCATTTTGAATCAATGCAAATTGAAAACTAGAGATGATAAAATTATTGATGAAGGAGCTAGAAATATTTTTAAAATATTTTGTTTAAATTTATAATTTTTATTTGTCTTACTTTATTTACAGTTACTTATTTATGTTTTTTACTGTTAATTTACTTGTAAATTTAAATCTTTTGTAAAATAATTTAAAAGATTATTAAGGTTAACCCTTTGATTTAAAGATTGAAGAACTTTTTTTTATTGAAATATGAAGTAAAAAGTTTGTGGCAGAGGCAAATAAGCATATGCCAGATTTTTTCAAAAATAAAATTATTTATTTTTGAAAAAAATCTGAAAATATAATTTTATCAAAAATATTGTGATAATTGTTTACAGTAAATATGTGTGTTTTGTTGTAGTTAAAATTGCAAGATCCACAGCGAATTCTTAACTGTTACAGAGGAGAAAGTTTGGCATGATTTTACCCTATCAGATAGTTAGACCTACAAAAAATCTCGACCTATTAAATTGTTCTACAAAAAGAACATATACAAAAAAGTGGAACTAATTTTCAGATAATCTACTGAGGCCTAAATTGTTTTCAACCAATTATAGTCTTTTAGTTTAATCCAATTTGAGTAAAATTTTCAACCGATTATGTGGTCTGTGTTTTTAACGTGTAACGATTGTTAATTTGTAAATTAACAATCAATAAGTTTTCCAAGCATTCATGAAACTTTATACCTCCTGATTCTGAAGACACCACTTTAACTACTGCGCCAAAGCTGATCAAATTTGGCTCGTATTTAAACAATAAAATATAAAAAACACGGAAAGACATAGTTAAAAAATTGAAAATACATTAGGTTAAATATTTGGTAAGTTAAAAATTCAGTAGGTCAAAAGTTCAATAGGTCAATCATTAAGTAGGTTGGAAAATTAGTAGTACATATTTTTTTTAAAAATTTTAAAATTTAAAAAAATCTTATTAACTAGTTTATAGACTTATATAGAATATCAGCATGCCAGGCTTTGTAGCCTTTGATATATCAAGAGCAATAGCCCTTGCCTTGTTACCTCTTTCTAATGGACAATAGAACCTTTCTGTTATAATAGTTTATAGACTTATGTAGAAGATAGTTTACTACAAGTCAGCTGTAGGATGAGAGCTTTAATATTTGTATTGATTTTTAGAGAATTTATTTAGTTATTAGACTAATCAACAAAAGCTATTAGAAATTTGTTAATTTATAACTGAAAGATTTTGCTAACAATAAAAGAAGAAGATTAATTTTAAAAAAATTTTAAATAATTTAAACAATAGAAGAAGATTGGATTGTAGTTTTAGGGGTCTGAGTGTTCTCCAGAAAAATAAGATTCAGTCAAGTATTTATAAATTAATTTAAAGAGAATTGAAAAGAGTTCTGGAGTTTGGTTTTGTAAGACTATAACCTGAATGTTGTCTGGAATAAAAGCAATAAAAGCTTTCAAGAATAAAATAGCTTTAGCAATGGAAGCTTTAGTTGTAAGATGACCAAACCATTTATTAAAGATGAAAAGTTAGACTTACCATTTGTTAATGATGCTGTTAAAGACTTTCCCAAAGTCTCTAGAACCTATTTTTTGAGATAAAATATAAGGTTTAGTAAACTGAAAGTATTGGAGTTTAGCGTAAGACAGCGCTTTTGAATTAAGAATTGTTTTTTCAATAAAAATAAAATGATTATAGTTAGAAATAACATCTGTACAAGAAGGTGAAAACCATAGGAACCATGGGGTAGAACGATGTTTTATATAAAACCAATAAAAAGGATTAAAAGCCTATATAACTGCCTGGATCTAAGGAATTATATAGGAGGCACAGTTATCAGCTAAGAGGCATCAGTCCAAAGACCTTCCCAAAGAAAATCATAAAGAGTATCCTAGTCAGCTTTATGCTAGTAAGTAGTGCAATAATAGAGTGTGTTTAATTGTACTCTAAAAGCACTAACTGATTTTACAGCTGGTAATAGAATCAGTCTTTCAGAAAAAAAAAATGGCTTACAGCAGTTAGTAAAAAAGCTCTTTCATTGGAAAAAAGTTTAAACAGTTAGTTAACATTTTTTATTAACTTTTAATTCACATCAATTTGTTAAACTTAATGGAGCATTTCTCTTAATTTTTCCAGCTTTTTAAATTTAACCAACATAAAAAGTCTTATAGAGACACTAAATAATGTCTGGCATAATGGTCAAAATGTGCCAAGAAGGAAACAAACAGTAATTGCTGCTATAGGTTGTCAAATCAAACACTAATAAACATTTTGTATTATAAATTTTCTTAAATAGTTTTAAAAATAGTAATAAATGTTTTATTTTTGAAAGAAAAACACTTATTGGTTAGTTATGACTGTAAATTTTACCTTGTGTAACTAATAATTTAGTTACACTAGTGAAACCACTGTATGTTTTTAAGTTTTAAATGTATTACTTTGTTACTAAAACCCAATGGTTAGTGCAATCATTAAGTTACAATGGGAGTAATTTTTTGATAAGTCCAAGTTTATAACTCGCAATAAGTTCTATAGCTATAGACTGCTTTAAAAATACCATCCATATTTCATTCTTGCTCATTTATAATTTAACTTGTATCGGGTTTTGAAAAACTTTCATTTAATAAGAGTTCTTTCAAAAATGTTTGTGAGTATAATTTACATATAATTTTTTGTCAGAAAAATAATTTTTTGTTATAAAACAAACATCTAAAATAATATATTATCTTATTCCTTATTATTGCAAATTATACATTTGGTATATTTAGAATTTTTTTTTAGATTCAATAAGAAAGGCTTTCGATAAATTAAAGTTTGATGATCTTGCTCCTATGATATATGTTGTTTATTATCCTGATAACGAAAACCATAAGAGAAATGTGTTCAAGTTTGTACAAATTCTTCAAGAAAAATATAAAATTAATGCTTCAACAGCTGATGATGTTGATATCAATAAAGCATCATACATAGATCAAAAATTTAATCAAGCCAATTATGTTTTATTAGTTTGCAGTCCAGGTTTAAAATTTTGCTTTAAATCTGATGAGAACCCAAATTCAATACTTCAGCTGGTGGCTAATTCTGGTAAGTTGCTTCAAATGTTTTTTATTTGATATTTTTCTAAATCCTAAGCAAAAGTTTTTTTATTTTTAAAATATTTTTTATTTAACAGTCTTCTAGGATTTGTTTTCAAATCTTAGGATTTAAAAAAGGTTTTTGGAGTGGCATGATTTTACAAAAAAATTTTAATGTTGATGTATTTTTATTTCATTTTTCTTAATGAACCTGTTTGTGCATAATTTACTTTTTTTTCACATTGTGTTAATGTTCTAAGTTGCTTGACATATTTCACGTGTTTGCTTTTATGCAAACAAATGTAACAGAGCATGCATATGTTAATAATAATATCTTATGTATCAGTATGCATATCAGTATGTGGAGATTTAGTAATATAATGTGAAAGTCTGTGAGGTTGATAGGACTTATGTTTTATTATTTCCAATAATATTGATCATATAATGGCATAGGTATTTTAGGTATTTTGAAGACTTATATTATCTGAATTAATTGTAGATGTTTTTAAAGTTATTTTTTTACAAATCAAGCTTATTTATATTACCATCTAGATTAAAAAAAAAAGAATTATAAAAATGGAATAAATTTTTTTGAGTTCTTTTGAATTTAACAGATGTTTTGACTAGTCGTTCCATTCTTTCTTGACTTCTTTTTGACGTTTGATCGAAGTTTTAATCAAACTACTTGCCCTTGTTTATGACTCAGTCTGCACAAGACCTCAACAAGCCAAAACAAGATTGTATGACTAATAGCTTATGATTTTTTAGTCGCAAGTTTTTACAAAATGTTGACACACATTGAATTAGAATTAATATTAATCATTTCTTTAATCGAACCAATGAAACTACAAGGTTTTGTCATTAAATTATTTGATAAATGGGAATCTAGCTTTTATATAGCTGGCAGCAAAATAAAGACAGCAATTGTTTGAATGCTTTTCTCGATCATAAGGAAATCATTGTTCTAATACAAAACTTCTCTAAAATATCAAATTCTTTTGAAAGTCATTGTTCTCTTATAGAATATGCTTGCTGTTGATCACATTCTATAACTTTTTGTACTAAAAAATGAAATGTTTTGTTTCGCCAGTATGAACAGGCCAATTAAGCTGTGATATAGGGTTTGTTTTAAAGTAAATAGAAAACATGAATGAATCACAAAGATAATCTGTTTTTGGGAAGTGTTTCAGCATTCATTTAAAAAAAAAAAAACTTTGTATAAACCCTGAAAACTCTAGTGGTTACAATTTTAAAATATGCATATGAAGTCTACTTGCTAATCAAAGAATAGCTCTTATACAATCATGCTTATTGCTTTTGCATTTATTGTGCAACTATGATTTAATTAGTCTATTTCTTTATCTCTTTATACTGAGGTCAGTCAACTTGTTTTTTGAAAGTCTTGCTAGTCAAAACTTGCGCTCAAGAGTTATTAAGTCAAAAGAAAGAAATGAATAAAAACTAAGAATATAAAGTTTTGTTATTTAATATTAATTGTTATTTAATAATTTATTGTCCATGGTTCCACACTTGTGTGGTTTAGATATGTTTTTATAATGCCGTTTTTCTTTAAAGATTACATGATTAATAACTATTGCAAATTGTTCTTACATCATGTAACTATGAAGCAAGTTAGAAAAGTTAGTATTTTGAGTTTGTAATCGAAAATAAGAGAAACGGTTTGTGTAGAAGATACTAATTAAGAATCTAGAGTTTTTATATGTTACTTGAACATTGTTTTTAAACAGATTTGAGGGTGTTATGAATCAACCTTTTAAAATTTTTACAAAGTTTGTAACATATATATTCCTTTAAATATTTGAATAAAATTTTAAATACTTGTACAAAAGTAAATTTTTATAAGAGTAAATGTCTAAAAGGTACATAATCCACCAAAACAACATGAAATTCTACACATTATTTTTATTTGAGTTACTAACTTTAAAAAAAAAACATTAACTTTTCATATCAGTTGATAAAAGTTATTTTAAATATTATAGAAAAATTGAATTATATTAATATTTTTTATAAAAATTTGATTAAAAAAAATTCTTTATATTAGTATATAATTTTTTGTTATTTTCTTATTTTTTTAGAAAAATCCAAAGAAATATCGTTTGTTAGCAAATTGATTCTAAATGATATATTTGCTCAAAAGAATTTATCAAAATATATTCCCATTTTATTAACTAATTTATGTAACGTTGATAGTATTCCTCTTGTATTGCAAGGTGCAACAAAATACAAATTTCCCGAAGAGCGAAAAAAACTTATTAACAGAATTTTGAAAAGAGAAAATTTTGTACTACCTGTGATGCCGAAAAAAAATGTTGGTGTTATAAATACAAAAACCTTATATGGTGGGGGTTTGTTAAAGTTATCGATTTCAACGTGATATTGTTAATATAATCAATTTCAATTCAAAATGCTTACTTTGTTAAGACACGTTAATGTTTTTTTATTTCTTCAAATTTTTACATAGATGTAATCAATGGCCACTCAAACACATTTTACTTTGCGACATAAGACATTTTACTTGGTTGAGGTTTTTTAAAATGTTAAAAATCAACTCACTGAGAATCTGTTTCCTTCTAGCAATGTAAATATCAACTCACGGAGAATCTGTTTCCTTCTAGCAATGTTTTTAATAAGAAGCATCTAAAGATAAACATTAAAACACAATGGTGCAAAGAATAAAAAAAATGATGTAAATATAGTATTAAAACTTAATAAATTACTAAAAATAATTTCAAAGCTTTTATCGATCATACTTATACAAATTTTCATATCTAAGCATTTTCTAGATTTTGCCAAATATATCTTTGTTAATTTGGTTTTACCTAATTTGTATGTAGCAGATGTGTTTCTAGGATGTATGAATTTAGCGTTTTATTGTGTGCGTACTCCCTGTTACTATACTATTTTATATCATATTTTAACATAGTGCTTTTATTTGGTTTTAAACATCTGTTCAACAAATCTTTGTATATTTATTCTCCTATCAGTCTTCTTACGTTTTTTCTTAGTTCAATAGAGCTTGACCACTCCGTCTAGTCTTTTGATACGATTGTTTACATTTTTTAATTTCTAAAAATCTTTAATATAAAATATTGAATTTTATATTATAAAATTTTTTTTTTGTGTGTTAATTTTACGTATTGATTTAAGTCAAACAAAATTTAACTTGATATAATTTAATATTGAAGACTCAAGCAGCTCATTCTAATATTTACTAATATTTTACAAATGTTTTACAGATTCATTGAGGAACATAAATCAAGAAGAAAATTTTGGAAAAAGGGAAAAAAATAAATTGAGTTTAATTACTTGACCACTTTAAAATTTTGGTTCTTTTGATGATCTTGGATTATATAAAATACTATAGTTTTTAAACAAAATATTACATAAAATTACTTTTCGTCTTAAAACCATAGAAGTCATATTAAATAATGATTTTCGACATGCTTTAACAGTAAGTGGATCAAACATGACGTTAAATATGGTCCATTGACAGACATTGTCGAACGGTATGTTGAGACCTCCACGAATAATCTCTTTAACATAGTCCCCATAATTTTTATAATAATGTTTCGTTTCTTCGCCTGTTTCGGTCTTTGTAACATACCCAAAAATGTAAACTAGGGTTTTTTACATTTGCAGCCAGCTTTTCTTCTAGTTCAGATAATTTATGAAAAACATTTGATAAATCACCACTTAATAAAAATTTACATTCTTCACAATCACGACCTGCTTCATTTTCTCCATCTTCATCTATATTTTTACCCACTTGCAAAATTAATTTAGTTTTTAATATTCTGACTTTTTCTAAAATTTGCTGATTAAAATAATTTCCACAGACCCATGTTGGAGCTTCCCAAACATTTTTTCTAAAGGGTCTGTTATATATTTATCAAGTACCTCGTATCGCAATCCTCGATATGTACCACGTACCGAAATCCAGAGTTAATAAGGTACTTGACACGAGCAATCATTCCTTAACATGTACGCCAAAGTGCTATCGCGTGTTGGCTGATACTGTCTTTGTCCTTGACTACCGGTAATTTTGTTTAAAAAAGTTAAAAGTTTCATCATTTTCTGAAGATATATCAGCTCTATCATCATCGCGACAACAGAAGTCTGCATATCTTCCAAAACTTGAATATAATTTCAATATTTTTTGTTTTGTTTTGTTCTTTTTATTATATTTTAAATAAGCATTTTATTACAATATTTAAAAGACTTTAATAATATTTAAAATATTTAAAAGACTAATAAATAAAAATCGTATGGTACCATCCGAATTACCTTCATTAGAATATGTCTTCAGCGCAGCTAATGTTTCATCACAAAATATGCGGATACAAGTAGACTTTTTATCTTTCAATGGGTTTTAATGCTACCGATATATCGTTAAGTTTTTAAAAGTTTAACTAAATTTCTTTTTCAGTCTCATGTAATAAAACTGATTTTATTTCACCATTATCTTCAAACTTTAGAGTTTGTGTTTTTTCAGTTAGCCAGTTGTTTCGCACTGATTTTATTAAATGGACAAAGTCATTACGTAAAAATATATTACTTTCCAATTTCCATAACTCTCTAAAAGTAAATTCAGATTAAAATGAGTTGATACGATTGTTATCACAAATGGTAGCATCTAACTCTCAATAATATTTATGAATACAATCAAACAAATGATTTCCCTGCTTAAATAAAAAATCAATATTAAGTTCGAATACTGGCAAAATACAACACGCCTTTTGGACCACCAAATCGAAACCAACATAAAAACTAAAAACGGTTGATGCTAATGAATCAGGTTTGTTCACAGCCTTTTCTAATTAAGACCTAGAGCAACATGTAAGAGAAGGTTTTACGTAAATTTGGCCTACGTAATTTATTAATAATATTTATTTATTATAAACTTATTCTCTTACAAAAAACAGTTACGAAAAAAGTACATTTTTTTTTTCATAACTCTATTTTGCCTTTTTAAAAATCTCACTGATGTATTCAAAATCGTCAAGATTGTTTATCAGTTGGTAACCAAAACTTATTTTATATTTTCTTTATATAGTTGCCATTGCAACTCATTACACAACATTTCCTTGGCATTTTATAAATTTTATAATAACTATAACTATAAATAACACATGTAATAATAACAATAACACAATCGATAAATTTTTATCTTGTACAATATACTTTTAGTATAATGGTTGCCTTGGCAAAAAAGTTTCTATCACTCTAACTTTTCAAGTAGAATACATACTCAACTGACCTCCAGTTTATCGCACAACTTGTTCGTTTACACGGCTTGATAGTATAAATATGTCCATAACGTAGCATTCTTAAAATTTCTACGTTAAGATTTTACTTTCCGGATGTTTTAAACCTTTCAAACATCCCTCTCGAAGTAAAACGTTAAATTATTACTAAAGTAGTGATAATGCTATCATTGTACTGCGTTTATTATTATTTGACTGAATTTGTAGTCTACAATTTATGGAGGTTTTTTTTTCAGTGTTTTCAAGATGTACAAAAGTATTATCTTTAATAATCTCGGGAAATATTTGAGTGACAAAACTATCGCTGAAGATGTAAAGGAGAGAGAAAAAAAACTATCCCTGAAGATGTTAAGGAGAGAGAAAAAAAACTATCCCTGAAGATGTAAAAAAGAGAGAAAAAAAACTATCCCTAAAGATGTAAAGGAGAGAGAAAAAAAAGCATATGTTAAATGGCAATGTAAAAAAAATCGATTTTGTGGAAAATTTTTGCATTGCAAGAGGTATTGGCTACGTGAGGAAAATTTATTTAATAGAAAGAAATTTTTAAATTTATTTAAACCACTTAACTGAATAAAAAGAATTGCAAACATACATTGTGAGTTTTAACTGCCTTCCTGATAACCGACACAACATTTTTAACTTAGATTTTATAAGACAGCTGTTATTATTCTGAAAATTCCATCCTGTTTTATTTATTTCTTACTTTATTATTTAAGATAGGGTGTCTGTCAGGTCAAGGAAAAGTTAGGCAAATAAGATATTTAAAAAAAAATTTGTGAAATTAGATTAAATTTTGGAAAAATCAGGGAAAATGGCTTCATCAAACCTACTCAACTTAAGTAAGTTGTTATTGTAACTCATGTAAGTGGTTTTATGAACTTCTCTTGATACTAAAAATATTGTTTATAAATATAATGCATTATTCTATTCAAAAATCTAGGCAAAATAACTTAATTCTTGAGGTGATACCTTTAAATTGTCCTCATTTTTAGATATTTTGTAAAAAAAACAAAACAATGAAAGTAGGCTACTGTTAAAGCTTTTTTTGAAAACTCTTGTTTATTCCAGAGATATAAGGTCTCAAATTTTGGCTAATTTATGAATATATTTGCGTTTTCATGGAGTATAGTTGCTACTTTTTGAGACAATATTAGCAGTATGAATTTAACAGACATATTTCTTTACAATTTTTCTGCTATTTTGGGTTGTCTAGAAAGCATGATCCGAAATAAAAATTTGAAATTCTACTCAAGTTTACAATTAGGGTAAGGTCACTTACACATTGTTTTCTAAAGCGATTTTAAAAGCAACTAATAACAATTAAACAAGCATTATTTATATAAAAAATCATGTGCATGCAAGGAATTGGGAAAGAGTAAACTGCCAAAAATTAGTCAACACGCTTTATTAGATTAACCTGTGTCATTCACAGCTCCATTATTTAGTAAAGTAATTAAAAACTATGATATACATTTTTCTATCGGAACTGTATAAGAATATTAACAAAATCTAATTTTTATCAAGTTCTCTTTGTACTTCATGTATTCTAACTAATTCAAGATAAGATATGTATTCTAACTAATTCAAGATAATTGTTGACGTAATTAATAGACAATTAATTACGTAAACAATTTTCTGGCAATTTTTTATCTCTCCTTTTCTTTTGTCAACGACTTCCAGAGACCACCTAAAAAATTACGTCAATTTTCAATTGACGTAATTTTTTAGTTATTATCTTAAATGTACTTTAAAACTTAAAGAAGTAAATCTCTTTTGCTATTCTATTGCTTACGTCCAAGTTGTTAAATATTTAATAATCATAAGTTATGCTGTTGCAAAGTGCAAACAGCAGGCAGGCTTTTTTATAGTAACTTTTTTTACTTTTTACTGTTTTCTAATGTATTTGTTGAAGTTATTAAATATTTTAGTTAGATTCTAATAAAATAATAAAGATTTAATATGACAAACCTTGAAATAAGAAAAGAAAGTTATCAAGAAAGGGTGTTGGTGGTCGCGGCAAAAAATCTGAACATATTATACATATTTTAGTTTTAAAAACACATTTTTTTTTCTTGTTTTTTGATTTTCTGCCATATCGTTTTTCAAGAAAATTGTCTCACGAAAAACATCATAACTTTTGAATTAATAATGATAACTACTTGAAATTTTCAGGGCTTCATCTAGTGTACTGCTAGTGTCTGAGTTTTTTTCAAATAAATTTATGACTTGTAACTCGTGGTTAGGTAATTAAGATCAGAGATCTAGTAGCAGATTTTTCAAAAACACAGTTGTTTTGAAGCATAACTTTTAGTAGAAACAAGGCTTTATAATAAAAAAAAACTCACGCACTAGATACAGGTAGCACACACAAGTGTACCAAGTTTGAAAGTAAAATAAACTTTTACTCATGAGTAATTGTGTTTCTAATAAACTTTATTTTTAGGGGTTATTTTGACTATTATAGGTCTCTATGTGATCATCAATTTATTTTTGGAGTTCGAAAATATTTTTTTTATAATCATTCTGTACCTATTTTTGAGATAATTAATGCTTAATGAATAAAAAATAACTTTTTTTTATTACATAGGAACCACCATAAAAGTAAACTATTTGGAAAACTATTTAAAAAGACCAATGCTTGCTTTAAACAAAAATTGAATAAAAGTAAAAGGTATAGAAAAAAGTTATTAAACTTTTAGTTTAAGAACATATTTCCAGTTTATAACTACAAAAACTTACTCCGAACAAAAAAGTAAAGATTAACGGGTGTTCACAAAAATGTATACACCTAACACGTTTAAATCATGAGCATTTTTCAAATTAATGCAACACTTCAATTTGCCCATCCTCCTCATCCTCCCATCCTCCTCACTTTTACTTTAGGCCTAACTCAATTTGACAGTAAAACCAATTATTTCCAATAGAGTTGAGTATAACGAAAAATACATTTAACGAATTTTTAAACCAGGGGTCGGCAACCTATTAAGACAGATAAGCAAAAAGTTGCAATTTAAATAGTTAAGCTCCTTAAGAAGCGTTGTTACCTGCCCTACGGACCAAGTTTGGGAAGAACAAAGGTATATAAGAGCAAAAGACAGATGTAGTCGTGTAAGAAAAATGGCATAGAGAAAGCCAATAGGAATTGCACACGATGTTAGAAGGTGCAAACACAATACCATCAAGTACTTGAAAGTCACTTGATGGAATTGTGTTTATATTTCAGCAGTCCACCAGCTAATTGCCTTGTGGATAACGTCTTGTGGACTTGATATGAACTCTGGTATTGTGGTATTGCCGATTTATATTGTTTCTAAAATACGATTTTATCAAGTTATTTATTTATTATTTGTTTATGAACTAAACTATTATATTTAAATTGAAAAGTTTATTTTCCACTTTTTAGTACAAAAAAAGTTTATATTTTTGAGCAAATGTTTTTAATATATTTTTTAGAATTTCTGTTGGAAGTACAGATTAAGATTTATATCCAATTTGCTGTTTAAGATTTTGTTTCTTATTATATGTAGACATAGCAAATCGTTTCTAAAATACGATTTTATCAAGTTATTTATTTTGATTTTATCAAAGCGTATTTATACAACAACATAAATAAAAATATGAAAAAGCTAATGTGGCATTTGAAACGACATAAATATTGTTATTGACATGAGTCTGTTATTTAAATTTATAAAAAACTTAAAATGAAAACAATTCACTTTACTTTAGCAGGTTACAGGCTTATAAACGAGAATTTAATGAAGATATCATTTAAGACGAGTGAAAGTCTTAAGGTTAAACGTAGGCTTTTATGATTTCAACACTTATCAAAGAGTCATAAATCAAAAAAAAAAACAAAAAAACGCAGGGAATACTATGAACCTGGTAGCTTTTAAATTTTTTTTTCAAAAAGTCATATTTTTCTTAGTTTAATTTTTAAAATATCACTTTTTTATGATTTTTTTTTTTTTTTTTTTTTGCGTTTTCCAAGACTTTACATTTCAAGCATGCCGTGAAAAAAATCTAAAAAAGCATGAAAAATTTTTTAGGGATTGTTATTTTATCAATATTTATGACATGAGTGGAGTAGAATTTCTAATAAAACTTTAGATTTTGAGTTATTGTGTTTTTTGTATTTTGCTTTTTTTTATTACTCAAGTTGTTTTAAATTTTTTTACAAAAAAACTTAATAAAAAATTGGCTTCACTCATATCACATTTTTACACATTTAGTACAGTTTTGCAAAGTTACATTATCACTCATTGTTCCTTATTTTTTTATAGCCTAAACCCAGATTTTTCTGATATTCTTAGCTTTTTTTTATTGGTTACCAAGCAACGAGTTACCATTTTATATGTTTTTTAAAACTTCTATCTCGGTATAATATTTACTGTTTGAAAAAGTTAGTTAAATGTGTTGTTTTAAAATTTGAGGGTAGTTACCCCTTAATGTTAGGAAAAAATTATTCCTCACTGTATTGCCTTTGAAAATTTCCGCGTATCCTCATTTTACCCGCGTCCATACCGTCACTAACACTTTTAAAATACAAACAAAGTAAGTCCTATATAAGTCCACTTTGTGCCATATTGTTTCTTAAATTGTCAAAAATACCGAATTGCCCTTAGAGTGTACACAAAAATCATTTCAGTGTTTAAAAGCAAAACTGGGTCATTAATTTTATGAAAATACTGTTTATTCCTAAACTTATTTGTTTATATTAAATTTTGCAACTGTCATGTTTTTGTGGTAAATTTTGAAATTGTTTAGGGACACGCACGCTATTAGTCTATGGATATAATATAAATGCTATAGTGTAATAATAATAATATATCGCAGTCTAAAAGTTTAGGACCATATTTTATGGTCCTAACTTTTAGACTGCAGTATATTATTATTATTATTATTTGGAGAAATATAATAGTATTTATTAATTTTATATGAAATTTGAAATTGATCAATAAATTTTATTAAGAGTATATATAATAAATTTTATTAAGAAATTAAGATTTTACAAGTTATTTAAATGGTTACATCCTCCTCATATGCCAAATGATTTGAGGTTGTTTTCTTCTGCCTTAATCACAGCAAATTTTTATTAGGCATTTCTCTATGTATGACCATGCAAAAAATCAGAGTCTGTAAAATGCCTGAAAATAAGCTTTTTAAATAATATATAAAATTTTATTTAGGTTCACTAAATCATTCGGTAAAGTCAGCCTAATATATTCATATTGAAAAGCAATTCAGCAATTCGTCTACCATACTTTAGGCTAAAATTGGATGGATTAAATCTGTTTATAACAGGCCTCATTTTTTGGTGTATTGCTTCTGTTAGATTTTAATTATATTTTGGCAGAAAATATTTGAGCATATCTAATTAAAACTACTTGTATGTATTTTTCCAAAGGAGAACTTATTGTATTATTTTTCACACCACACTGAGTATTATATTCAAGTACTGTAATATGATAATGTATATATGAAAAATAAAAAAAGTTATTAAATAATAGACATTTATATTAGTTTCACAAATAGTATGTTTGAGAATGTTCAGAAATATCTGTAGAGTCTCAGATCAATTTGTGATACTGTAAATCTATCGCAGTATCACAATTTGTGATACTGATGAATTTAGTTCTCTAAATGTACCTGTCAAAACTTTGTCAAACTTGCCTAATGTATTAGTTAGAGGGTACAGCTCTATTTGAATTACTAATTCAAGATTGTCTACATTGCTCTTGAAACATCATCATATATACCTCCTACTTTTGAAATGTTATCTTCATAGGTACCTCTATAATAACCTTTCCTTATAATACCAAAGCCATTAATTCATTTTTTTAACCTTCCTGGAGAAGTATATAGTTACAAATGTGATCTACCAAACCCACGAGAATATACGATAATATAAAGTTCTGGTAAAAGTATTAGAATTGTTACTAGCTTTTTATGTTCCTCTTCCTTTATATGACTTTGCAATATTCTGAATAAAAATTAATGAGACAACATTATGCCTTGCATAACCAAGCTCTTCATTAGATTACAAACATGTAAAGCTAGAAAATTTTGAAATTTAACATATGTTTCTCTGAACAGTCTGCATACTGGTAGGAAACAGTTATCTAAGTCTCCAAAGCTTTTTAGATAACCAGATTTCAGAACCAGTTTCCTGTTGCACCAGGAACGACTGTCACTTCTACCATGAGGCTACAAGTATTTTAACTAATAAATGGTTCATTTAAAGGGTAAGTTGTATTTATTCAATTAACTTGAATACTGAAATTCCCAACAAAATGTTGGTTAGTTTAAGTCAGGAAATATTCACAATTATGAAGTTGAGGTTTTTCAGCTATACTGTGAGGTTGCTATGTTTTCTAATACATAAGCAGATTTTATTCCAGAGTTCCACTATCACTTTTATCAATGACTCATTGTTGATTTCAAAAAATTTTTGAGAATTTTATATGAAAAATGTTTTGAATTTAAAATTTTTTTAATACTGTTATTATACAGTTGCAACAGAACCATGCCATAAAAATGAGTGCAATAGTTTTTAACAAGCCTAATTTGACCAATAAATTACATTTAACAAATTTACATAGTACTAGCATAAAACATAAAATTTGTTTGATTTAAAATATCATTATTGTCATTAGATACTGTATATATAATGTGACCTAAATATTTATAACTGTCCACAACAGTTTTAAATTGTTTAGGTCTCATTGAGGAAGGTTTTATATTATATATATATATATATATATATATATATATATATATATATATATATATATATATATATATATATATATATATATATATATATATATATATATGTATATATATATGTATATATATATATATATATATATATATATATATATATATATATATGTATTTATACATATATATATATATATATATATATATATATATATATATATATATTATGTATATATACATATATATATATATATATATATATATATATATATATATATATATATATATATATATATATATATATATATATATATATATATATATATATATATATATATATATATATATATATATATATATAATCCATTAGTTTGAACAACATAAATGTGCATAAAAACTATAAAATTATAGCATATTTTATGGTTGCTATTTTTGCCATTAACATTAAAAGTATTTTAATATTAATAGCAAAAATAGCAACCATAAAATATGTTATAATTTAATTTCATTAAGTTATATTACACAATATAAATGTGCACATTTATCTTGTAGTATATGTCAATTAGAGGAATACCTTACTTTCATGGTAATTCAACAGTTTTTTGGCTTCAAATTAATTCAATTTAATTTTTTTTAGGCAATAATAATAGTAGGCAACATTAATAATGGCTTTTCCTGTAAGTTGTATTGCATTGAATTTTAATTTAATTTTTAGTTATTAATTTATTCATTTTAAATTTTTTTGTAAAATCATAGTCAGTATATGTTTCTTTTTTTTATAGATTTTAATTTTGTTTTAATTAGTTTTATAAGATTTTTAGTTATCTCAAGCATTTTTTTTTCTCTCTTGGTTTGTTTGAGAAGCATTAATTTTGGAATTAAGGAAATTACTTTTTTATTTGATTATTAATTATTTTGACATCTATTTATCATTTATTATTTATTTTGACATCTATTTATCATTTATTATTTATTTAATTATTAATTATTTTGACATCTATTTATCATTTATTATTTATTTAGGCAGAAGCATTAGCAATAGTTATTGATGTTAGTCCTCATATGACAATACCTGATTCTGAAAACCAATCTCTTCTTCAAAAAAGTATTTTGGCTGCTAACAAGATTGTGCAAAGAAAAGTATGCTCAATTTATTCGTTATTATTTTTATTATTAGTTTTACTATTTTACATTGTTAAATACAGATTTAACTGGATATGAAATGTCCTGGATATTAGACTTTTTAAGTCAATGTCTAAGTTACTTGTGTGATTTCCATAATGCTATTTTCATAAATATAATAGAAAAATCTAAGGGTTACCAGCATGAAAGAAGTCCTATAAGAAAAAAAAACTATTGAAACTTCTTTCTTCTTTTTTTTTGAAAATCTCTGAAAATTTAGATGTAAAAAAAGTTTTAAAAAGAAAAAGTATAAGCTATATATATAACTTTTTTATAGTTAAAAATTGATGTGAATCAATCAATGACCTTTTTTTTTTGCACATATCATAAATTGATCACTGGCCACAGATATATGTTAACACATAAGTCATGATTATAACATATGTATGCATATATGTTAACATATAAGTCATGATTATATTTTTCAAGAGAAACATTGTGCCATTGTCATAAATAATTACTTATAATGTTGTGTTGTTCTATAATTTATATATATAATTACTACTTTATATGCATATGTCCCTTAGGGAATAACGATTAAATAATATTACAATTTTCTATTGTATATTTTATATGATAGATAAAACCTTTGATATTAAGAGGTGTTATTATTTCAATTTATCTATCATATATTTCTATAAAAAAAAAAAAAAAAAAAAAATTAAAGCGTTTTAAAAGTTAAATTGTTTAAGTATACGTATGGAGAAATATCTTAGTCCTGAAAGATTTGTCGCAAATCCAAACTCTTCAACGTCAAGTAAAGAATGGATTCACTGGTTTAAAACCCTCCAAAACTTCTTTCTATCTGCAGAATCTACATCTGATGAAAAGCTAAGAATATTGATAAACTTTGTATCGTCAAACTGTGTATGAGTACATCTCCGAATCACAAACTTTTGATAATGCAATTGAAGTGCTCATGTCATTGTACGTTAAACCAAAAAACAAAATATTTACACGGCATCAATCAGCAACACAAAAACAACAACCTGGCAAAACGCTAGATGAATTTTCTCCAAGCTCTTCGAACCTTTTCGAAAGACTGCAACTTTAAAGGAGTAACAGCTGATATTTACTGCAATGAGTCTATCAGAGACGCATTTATCACCGGGTTAGCCTCAAGTTTTATACACCAGAGGCTACTAGAAAGTAAGACACTAGAACCAGAGGCTACTAGACACCAGAGGCTACTAGAAAGCAAGACACTCACATTAACATCAACGTTTGACCCAGCACGCTCACTAGAATTTGCGCAAAAACACTCTGAGCAGTATCAGTCTAATGTACCTTAAATCAATAGAATGTGTAGTACAAGAAAATACGCTGATAATCAGCAAACTTCACCACAAATCATTAAAATGTGTTACTTCTGTGGAAACAATTGCCATCCACGCATTATTTGTCCTGCTAGATATACTGTTTGTCAGATATGTCAGAAACAAGGACATTTTACTAAAGTATGTAAATCAAATAAATCATTAGCTGTTGCTGAACCCGATGATATGTCTGCAACAATGAGTGCTGGAGCCCCTAACTGTCTTTCACACGCTATTCGAAAGGTTGAAATAAATGGACAGAGTTTCGCTACAGTAATAGATACCGGAAGCTCTGACAATTTTATAAACAAACACATTGTTAATAAGTACAAAATTCCATATATAAAAAGTAGCGGTAGTGTATCAATGGCATCATCGTTGCTAAAAACAAAAATCATAGGCTACTGTAAGGTAAATATAACTTTTCAAAATCAATAGTATACTAACATCACCTTATCAATCTTACCTAGTTAATGTGCTGATGTTATTCTTGGTCAAGCTTTTATGAAACAACATAGCAACATAGCAATAGCTTTTGGAGGAAAATTACCCCCTTTGTTAGTTTGCAGTCTAAAGAAATCTCAAATATCTCCAGCAACATTATTTACACATCTCTCAAAAGAATGTCATCCAATTGCAACTAAATCTCGAAGATTTATTCATGTCGATAGGCTTTTCATTCAAACCGAAATAAAAAAGTTATTAAATGACAAAATTATAGAACCAAGCAATTCACTTTGGAGGGCACAAATCGTAATGACGATTTACTACAAATTACTAACTACGATTACACTACAAATGAACGAAACAAAAAACGAATGTGTGTTGATTATTCCCAAACTATAAATAAATTCACTTATCTTGATGCTTATCCTTTACCTAGAATAGACAATCAGATCAACGAATTGTCAAAGTACCACTTTTTTAGTACTCTTGATCTTAAAGCGCCTACCATCAAATACATTTCTAAAAGAAGACAAACCTTATACTGCGTTTGAAGCCGATGGAAAGTTGTACCAATTTACTCGTTTGCCATTTGGGCCAACAAATGCAGTTGCTGTTTTTCAAAGGAAAATTGATGAATTTATAATTGGAAACTCTTTAAAACAGACCTATGCAGGCCTTGTTTTAAAGCGTTACGCCTAGAGCGATTTACGTACGCCTTAAGCGCTTTTTACGTACGCGTAGAGCTGTTTTGGTTAAGCTACTTTTTATCATTTTTTAACTTTTAAATTAGCGGTAACATAAAAGAAGTAATTAATTTTCAAAAAAACCACATTAACTTTTAAATAACGATATGTAAAGGTATTTATTAAAAAAAAGAATTTACTTTAAAATTAATTGTTGTAACTTTTCATCGCGATATATCTTTCCTTTTTATAGCAATTAATTTGACGCTAAACTTTTTATCCAAATATTTAGCAACATGAAAAATTGTTTGTCAATCCTTAACTACAAATTTTTTGGAATGTTTTTAATAAAAAGTAGTAAAGTTTTTAGTAAAAAACTTTTAAAAAATCTATATTCCATATTTATTAATACAGAATATAAAATTTTTTTGTAATATAGATTTTTTTTGAATTTTTTACTGAATTTATAATAAAAAACATTTGCAAAAAAATTTGTAATTAAGAATTGACATTTTTTTAAATAAAATCTCAAAAAATGTCTTAATATTTTTGTTATCATGATAACAAAAATATCAAGACATTTTTTCGAGATGTTAAAAAAAATGTCTTTGCTTTTCTTATTAGTTTAATAGTATATAGCTTATAGTTAGTTTAATAGTATATAGCTTTTCTTATTAGTTTATTAGTATATAGTTTAAGTTATGCGGGGGGAGGGGGTCGGCACAGAAAAAAAAATTTACCTGTTACTCACAATATTTGAATGAAGACAATTTGTTAAAATTCTTCTGCGTGCGATTCAATAAGTTTTTTTTGTCATAAATCAAGTTATAATATAAGGTAAAGAAATCATGAGTAGACTACAACATCCGCTGATGACACTAATATTACGTTGAATATATTTATATAACGGAGGTTTTATTATGCACGCGCACATTACAGGTTCCGTTAAATAAATACTAAGGCACGTTTTAGTTTAATGACAGTCTCCATTTTTTACTAATGAATATGTATTTTTCTTTATAAAACAAAACAAACTAGTATTTAAAAACCTTGTATATTTCTATTATCTCTAAATTATTTAAAGTTCGAATATGGATTGTATTTTGAAGGACAAAAGATTTACTTTAAAAACTTTTAAATCTTGGGACTTTGCCGATGCGATGATCACAGAAAAAGAGAAGACTTACGTTATTAAAATCAAATGTAAGTTATGTGATCTTCATCAAAATAAAATATTATCCAAAAACAATAGCGCCGTAAGGGCAACTGCCCAACGGTTTATAAACAATACAAGTCATGTTAAAATATTTTAACATGTTACTATATTTTAATTAAGTTGATATATAATTAAAAATAAAAATATAGTTCAATAAATAAATTAAATTTATTCTTAACAAAGATTACCTCATATTTATTCTTTTTTTTATTTTATTAAGTTAAATTGCTTACAAACGAAAAAAAAAAAGAGTTTTGTAATTATACGTAGAATGAAAATACTTTTGAGTTTGTTTATAAGTTAAGGAACTTAATTTTTAATAAACAAATTTTTACGAACGTTTATTATAAACAGATACGATTCAAATTATTAAATATACTTAAATTATTTCAGTTGAGTATTTTTATAAGTTTGCACGATTAAAGTTTGGCGTACAAGTATTTGTTTTTTTGTTTTAAGAATAATTAATAAAAGAGTTTGCATAATTAAGACTTTTATATTTAATTTAATTTTTTTTTTAATTTCCTAAAATTAAAAAAAAAAAAAAAGATTTAATCGTTGAAAACGATTTTTCTCTATAGCTCTGTTTCTTTGTGATTTGTTTAAAAAGTTAAATATTTTTACAATAACATAAAAAGTTTATGAATTAAATTCCTAGCGAACGCGTTCTAAACTACGTATCAAAAATACGCTTCAAAGCAGACAAAACTTTTTTATATTTTTATAAAACGCAAGTTGAAACGCTTTTAAAAATTTAAAAAATATTTAAAAACTTAAATTTTTCTTTGCTAGTCAAAACAAAATCGTTGTTTAAATAATTAACATGGGTTTGTGTTTATCAATGTTAATATTTTTTGTTTACTCTAGAAATTTTTAAAAATAAAAAAAATCATTATTATTTTTTATTCAATAAAGATTAAAAACAATTATTCAAAAACAAATTTCAGAAATAATTAATATATATATATATATATTTTTTACTAAATAATATTGAACTAAAATTAATAATAAAATAACAATTGAAAACATTACAAAATTTTCATAATAAATTTATATTTAAAACGTTTATAGTTTATATTTGAGTTAATTGTTAAATTGAATTAGTTTGCGGTTATTTATTTATTGCGGCAGTTAAAACACTTAACGCCAAAAAAAAAAAATAAAGATAATTTTATGACGTCAAAATCGCGTTAAGCTAATGCATTAAGCACTTTTTTATTAAAAACAAGGCCTGCTATGCATATTTAGATAATATTACCATAGCTGGCATGACTCAAACTGAACACGACTTTAATT